GAGAGAGAGAGAGAGAGAGAGAGATGCACATTAACACGCTCAGGACACGCCGTCTCCATCTGTAATATTGATCCTCATTAAAGTAGGATCGGCTGCTTCATTAAAGATAACTCAACTCGAGCTCTATCAGGGCCTGAACTCTATACTCAAGAGTGAGCTTACGGTTGCGTAGTATTTTCGGTACATTGCCATCCTCAGCAGCTTGTTTAGGTAGTCTTCCAGTTGTTTCTGAAAAAGGAAAATGCGTTTGTTAGTTGGTTTGAAAAGTTTGATTCTGTGGCACTGGTTCTGTTCCATGATAGATAACAGTAAAACTCAGAAAGTAAAAATGCCATTCAAAGTTTTGCTAAATACTGTATATTTTTGATGATATTTAAACCATTCCATAGATATCAGTATGATTTCAATGTCATTTTCTTAAAATAGTTTAAAATTGTTTATTTTGCTGAAAGGTTGCAGTTATCAACACTGCAAAAAATGATGTTTTTCCTCAGTATTTCTGTGTTGTTTTCCAGTACAGATATCATAACATTCTTAAATCAATACAGATTAACTAGACATGCAAAATGACACAAGTCTTGTTTTCTGAGAAATGCTCCAAAATTAAGTGAGTTTTTGATTAAAACAGAAAAAAAATCAAATCTGTCAGTCATGTTTTCCTTTTGAACCCACCGGCAGACATTTGTTATTGTTTTAAGCATAAAATCACTTAAAACAACAACTCAAACAAAAAAATGAGGAATCATTTTTATTTTATTTTGCAGTGAAGCCAGGTTTTGTTTTTCAGTTTAATGTAATGTTATTTTGCTATCTAGCAAACAATGTTAGTTATATAGTAATGCAATGTTTTAATTACATTTATCATAATGATGAATATATCTCCTATACATAATCTAACTTTACTATTATTTTACTTATGCAAGCAAACTTTAAATATCTGATCAATATTACATAGCATAGAAATATAGCATTACACAGTGTTCCTTAAATGTCTTTAATGAAAGTTATTACTAAGAATATACAGTATTTTCCGAGACACTAAAATATGAATTATGAAAGTGATGTTTGCCTATTAGGCCTAATGTATTGACCGAAAGGAAGAGCTGTATGCTAATCAGCTGATTAATTACTCATTCATTAGTTTTCGAAAGATTTTCCTTAAACATCTATATAGAAAATTACCAGGAAATATACTTCTGAATGTCAGGCCATTGAAAACGTAGTCAATTGATATTAAGCTCTATTCAACAGCTCGAATCTTCAGAATTTTATCGGCAGATTATGTTCTCATGTGACTCACACTAATGATATGACAAGCAGTGTGCTGTTACTACATACACACTCAAGAGACCACTGAATCATGTCAGTGTGTGGGCTACCTGCCCACAGACTCACACGCCTGGCCTTGGGACGATCAAGATCACGTCATGCTCAACAGTGTAAGGGATCACTTCCTGTCATGTGATCCAGGGCTAGTACTGCAGTAAGCATGTTGGAGTGACTCACTCTCCGACTAGACACTTGCTCCTCTCGTGCCAACTCATCTCCACCTCCCAGAGGCAGTGCAGGCATCTGCCTCACCTCGCTCCTCTTTATGCTCTTTCTTCTCTCTGTGTGGCTGAAAGAAAGACAAAGATATCACAGTGAGAGACAGAAAAAAAAGAAGAATGAAAAAAGCAAAGAGTTGGTGGAGAAAATGAATAGCCATGAAATCTGAGAAGAGAACAAAAAAGAGAGAATGGGGGGAAAACCGAGAAAAGAAAAAGAAATGGAAACTTAGAGGACAAAAACTGTGAAAAAAAGGAGTGTAGAGGAAGGGAGAATAATTATAGCTTCTTTAAGAATGAGAAGAGTCGTAACTGATCCTCTACACCTGGTATCTAAATCCATCTAGGGCCACTGAACCACAAGTGGTCAGTTGAGACACATTAGCGCTTACAGCAAGCAGTGACATGCATCTGTAACGCATCTCCTGTGACCACTTGTGAAGAGGAGTGAATTTCAGACAGCACTTGAAAGGCACAGTGAGTGCACAAAGAGAATGCTACTCAAAGGGAATTTCCAAATGAAAGTACTGCAAGCAACTGAATCCTTTTAGCAAGGCCTTTTCCGGAAAAAAATTGAGAAAGTAGTTTTGCAATTTTTAACCATGCAATCCTGAGTGGCGGATTCTCACAATTTAACTTAAAATGTGAGGCAATTTATCTGAGATACCTGGGATTTACCTGGGATACCTGGAAACTTTAGAATTTTTTTTAGATGCCATATTAAAGGTGCCACCTGCAATGCTTGACCAGAATTTTCCCACAACTGGCAACCCAGTTTTTCAAAATACTGTTGGTCAAATTATCAGTGAGCAGAATCACACAGACCAAAACAAGCATTTTTTGGAGAAACAAGAACGTGAACTTAAATATCTGCAAACACATTATTGTACTTTTATGCTAGTACAGTCAAAAAAATTACATACAGCACCTTTAACAATCAGTACACATGCTGAAATAAATATAATTTAAAAGACACAAAAAGATTGTATTTGATGCAAAACCATATACAAAAATCTAACTTTTCTATTTTAAGTCATTCATTTATTGTAAAACTGAATCCATGAAAATTCTGAATTTTCAGCAGTCATTACTCCAGTCTTGAGTGTCACATCATCCGTCAGAAATCCTTCTAATATGCTGATTTGGTGCTTAAGAAACATTTCTTATTATAAAAGTTGAAAACAGTTGTGCTGCTTAATATTTTGTGGAAACTATTGTAATTTGTTTTTCAGGAATCTATTAAAAATAACAGCATTTATTTCAAAAAATAACTTTTTTTGTAATAATACAAGTCTTTACTGCCACTTTAATTTGATCAATTTAATACACCCTTGCTGAAAAAAGTATTCATTTCTTAACTAAACAAATGACTCATTACATCAGTGCAACTTCATGATGAAAAAACAGTAAAAAAAAAA